TTTTTTTAAAACATATAAAATATATTTAGATTTAAGATAAATATTTTATATTGTAACACAAGATTATTTTCTAATTATTAAAAATTTATTTTGAAATATTTAAATTTAATTATAAATAAATATAATAAATAAAAAATGGAACTAGTAAAAAAGTTTTAAAAAAACCCTTAAAAATTCTCATGTTGAAAAATGGATCCTAAAAACACACTTTTGTAAATTACTGTTTTTTTTTCTTTGATGTAAATTCCACACAAATCACCTAACACAAAAAAAAAAATTGTAACTACTCATCTGCAAACTGAACCAACATTTTTACACATCACATTATTTCACGAATTCTTTTTATACATGCTTTTATTGTTTTTATTTTCTTAGATAAATATGATGAGATAGATAGTCCCTCCTTCCCTCTAGTATATACCTATTATAAATGAGATAGGTTTTGATAATTATCCTATTAATTTTTACTTTCTCATCAGACATTATTACCCTAAATTCATACTACGCACTTTAACAAACATTTTCTATCAAAATCCCCTAAAAAAATCTATATCTCTAACAGGAATAACTTCATTTAGTATACACATTTTTTAAAGGATTTTACCTTTAAATTTTTAAATAAAAAAACTTACAAACACAAATTTCATATTAAAGACCTTAAAGTTTGAAACTTTTTTTTTTCACTTACAAAAAATCTTCTAATATTTAAAAACATACAAATTTTGATAACTTATTTTATAAGATGGATTTTGTGGAAATTTTCAGTAAAATTCAATTTATATATATTATACCTATCCAACAATCTCACCCAAGTCTTTTAGATTTTGTGTAACTTTTTTTTTTCTATTTTTTCTCTCACTCTCCCCACTCTTTTTTCTTGCCTTCATAGTTTTAAAAATCAGATAAAATAGGATAGTTTGAATGGTTTGACCATGAGCTGACCTAGTGATAGTTCGTTAATTCAACAGAATAAGAATATTTAAGAATTTGTGTGAATCAATCAAGAACTAGTCAAACGGATCCAAAAACTAGTGAAAATATATGTAATTCAAATGTTTTTTTTATAAAGTAAGTGAATTTGAAATTAATTGGATAAAAGGTTAGAAGTGATTTTGAAAACTCTAATACTGAAAATAAAGAACTTTTTTTAATAAAAAAAATCTCTCAAAAATACTTATAACTTATATCCAAAACAAACACTTTAAATGGTTATACCCTTCTAGTCCTATCCGACTTAACCAATTTCACATTCCAGCCACATGATTCTAGTTTAGGATTCTCCATTTTCGAGCTCTAACTCAAATTAAAATCATAGATTTTATATTAAACATATTTAACCAAGAAATTGTCTCCTAGTATAAACAAAACCCCATGTGCGTCATTATAACATGCTCCATCAGTTTCATTTATTGAACGTTTAAGCATTTATTGCCTGTTCATCGTTTTAACAAATTAAACATATTTGTATCCAAAATAAGATAAGAGATATATAATCTTATTAAAAATCTTCAAAAAAAAAATTAATAATTAACTATAATCTTATATAAAGTTGTACATTATCCTAATCTAAATTTTCATTTATCAAAAAGAATATATATATATATATATATATATATATATATATATATATATTCTTTGTCAAAACATGCTTCCGTTACTCCAAGTGCAAAGGACTTGATCAATGAAGCTAGTCACTCCCCCAATTAATTGTTGTAAAATATCTCCATTTGAAATTATCTATCTCACCGAGAGTTCTAATTTTTGTTTACAATATTTATTAAATTTGAAAGAAAATCATTAACTATTTTTTTTCCCAACAACATTCAATTTTTGATGTATCCTTAAATCTTAATTAATTCATAATTAAACTCTTTAACTCTTTTAATAGTTATTTTAGTTAAAGAAGGCTACTCTATCATAGTAATTTATCAAATTAATGATTTTCTTAAATATGTACATTATCGTCTCAAAGAACAAATAAATTAAAATAAAGGAATTCACTAACCATAAGGGTCAACTAAGTGATAGAGCATTGAGATAGTATGGACATGATTATATGTTCAAACCTAGTACCGTCATGATAATTTCGGTAAATAAAAAAATAAAAGAATTCACCAAAAACAAAATTGAAATGAGGGGAATAGTAATTAATTGTGACAACAACCAAGTCATAACTTGCTCTATTTAATGAGAAGTGTAATATGTAGTAATAACTTACCTATTTAATAGGCAGAATATTTTGAAGTACTAAATTTTTAATGCCTAGATAATCAATATTTCAATATTAAAGCAGCAATTGAAAATATTATCAGCGTTCATTCACATACATCTTATGTCTTCTCTTTTTATTTTCAACACAAATGAGGAGTAGGAATAAGCAGCACAATTGAAAAGCTGTTCAATTCATTGCATCCTCCTATCTATACTCAAACTCAATTTTCTGTCAATTGAAGAACACAACTCTAATCTGAAAGAAGTATTGCAAGCGACTAAAAATCTAAATTTACATTTAATCATAGCAAATCCATTACAAAACCAAAAGATGAACAAAAAGATAAAAATTCCATATTGTAAAAAAGAAGCATCATGATTCCTACCTCAGCTATCAACATCTATCACAGTAACACATATTCATCCGAATGTAATATATGAATTTTATGACTGCACAGCTTTATTTTGTTTGATACATGCTGGTGCCTTGAAATCCTGGCATTTCCACATTGATGTAGCCTCAATAGGCATCACTCTATCAGTGGATGGCTCCACTGTTAACAACGGCCTACTATCAACAGGGTTTTTACCTGTGTTCATTCCAGTCATTTGAGAACTTCTGGCTCTTATTTCTTCCTTTGGCTGTGCCCTATCTTTTGAGGTGCAAATGCTCAAGGGCAACTTTTTTAGCTTCACCCTTCCTCTCTTCTTACCTATGGGAGATGAATCTTCACAGTTTTTCCCTTTCAACATGCTTGACTCGGCTTCCCTGTTATCTATCTCTACTCGACTAGGTCTATCGTATTTAACCACCTTCTTATCTTTCTTACTTGAGCATGCCTCTTGGATGGATCCTTCAGAATCAATCTTGCCTGCTATTGCATGTTCATTGTTCAAAGATAAGCAATCTTGTCCAAATGCCACACCAGATTCAGTGCCCTCAGATATTTCCAAACTTGAAGAGCTTCTAGGCTTCTTATGTTTACTACCCTTTGAGTCTGAGTTTGGAGAGTTCTTAGAGATTCTTGGAGAACTATTCATGGCTCGATGCAATTTACGAGCTAGTTCTTCATCTGTCCTACAATTTTCAACTGGCTGGTTTTTCTTGTACAACAGTTGAACTGGGAGATGCTTCTTTGACTTGTTCTTTTTCAGATTTCTTTCCTTGCCGGCCGCCTCCTCAGACAAAGATGCAACCAAATCTAAAGCCCTCTTGGCTGCCTCAACTGCCTTTGCTGCTCTTGCAGCTTTTTCTTCAGCAACTGCTCTTGCAGCCTCTGCAGCTTTAGTTGCAACCGTTGCTGCAGCTTTTGAGGCCTCCACGATCTCCTCAGGCGTCAGGTTAGGGTTGTTCGAATGGCAACTCAACAAATGCTTCAGTCGGGCTTCAAATTCACTTGAAAATGATGAGGATGAAGGGGAAGCGACATCGGTAACACAAGAAGCAGCAACTGGAGATGGAGAGGCAGAGGCAGAGGCAGTAGCATCACTATCCGAACCCTGTTTCTTCAATCCAGCAAGAAGCCGCTTCCGCGGTGGCAAAAGAACATCAGCATCCAATTGATTGACATCACACGCGTTCTCCATGCTCCCCCAGTAAATTCAAATTTAGGATTCAGAAAATAATGAATAAATCTTCACATGAATTAAGTTGCTATCCGTTGACAATCACATCATTGCAACAATGATCAAACCTTTCCCATTTTCACATCCATTATGATATCAAGTGTTTAACAATCCTACAAGATCCTTAACGAAACCTACACAAAACTTGGGCAAATTCAAAGACTATCCAAGCTGGTTCCATTTTTTACTGTTAAGAAACCTCCATGCGAAGAAATATGACTCATACACAACATCAAATTCTTCCATTCCACCACTTTGATTCCTAAATAGAAAGAAAGAAAACAACAAATCAAACTCAAAACTAAATGTACTACAAACGATTCCATTCATCAGAATTAGCTTATCTATGAAAAACGCAAAACACTACAGCATCAAACCTGAATTCTCAAACATCACCAATCCCAATATTCCTAGCAACCAAGAAACTCACCAAGGAAGCATAATTCAGCAAGATAATCATAAGATCGAGGACCAGAATTCTATCTACCCGTGAAGCACAAGACAGGGTTTTTTTCAACACCCCAATTCCCAAATGATTCGAATCAATCCATAGGCAAAGAATCATAAACAAATAAACACCCAACACAGCTCAAATCCGGATTCAGCAGAATCATGCAAAATCAATGGAATTTTTATACCTCATGAGTCAAATTCAACAATACAAAAATAGAAGATCAAAAGAGAGTTGAGACCATTGAGACTGAAGGAGGTCCATGTGTACCTGATCCTGTTGTGGAAGTTAAGGGCACATAGAGAAAGAGGGGCAAATGAAGATCCAGGATTAGGGTTTTCAGAGAGAGAGAGAGAGGAAGAAGAGGTTGTGATGGTGAAGAAGAAAAATCCAAGGCATGTAGAAAACACAAGATGTTTCTATATATAATAATAGTAATATTAATTTTAAAAATAATAATAGTATTTTTATATATGAAAAATGTGAAAGTGAAAAATTTTCAGTTGTTGGTTATGGTTGTAGAATATGGTAAAGAAGGAGATCCCACGAAAACACCAATTGAGTTATCTGCTTTTAAAGTAACCTCGTATTTCTTTTCGTTTACGTTGTCAAACTGTGTCAATTACAACGTCGTAGTTGCTTTACATAAGCTGCGAGAAGGTGTCGGAGAAGGAAAAAATGTAATGAATGAAGATTGCGTACAAAAGTTTATCTAAAATTTAACGTTCCATTTTTATATATTAATTTGCTTACATCAAAATTTAGATTAAGATAACGGCACTAATACTTTTTATATCAAATCTAACGTTTCTTCCTAGATTTAGACTCATTTTTATTTATATGTGATGTATTACTATATTGATTTTTAATGATATATTTATATTTTTTTTATATAAATTTACATCATTGTAATTATTGATATGATTAAATTTATTAAATAACTTATCAATGTATGGTTAAATAATAATTTAAAATGTTTCTCAAAGTTTAAATTAATCTAATTTTATATACACTTTCATTTTGAAATTATATTAGATCAACTTGTAAAATACCAAAAAATGCATAAATGAACGGATGCGAAGATACTTTATCGTTATTTTTACGTGTATATATATATATATATATATATATAGTCTTTCTATTTATTTTTAAGATTTAATTTGGTCTTATTATTTTTTAGAAGGTTAAATTTGGTCTTTTGATTTTTTTTTAAAATATTCAATGTTATCATTATGTCTAAATTGACATCAACAACGTTAATGCGATTCGATGAAAGGACATTGAACATCGTTTGAAAATTAAACGACTAAATTGAATAATTTAAAATATTCAATTTAGTCCTTTTATTTTTGTAATGTTATAATTTTATAACTATGTTGTTTGATTTGGCAGACACTACCGAGAGCTCTAGGACTAGAAGACCCTAAGAGTAAGTTGATTTGTGGAAGACTGAACTAGAGATAAAGGGAGTAAACTTAAGAAGGTGTAAAATGAAATTTTTTAGTTGAGAGCTTCATAATTCAAATTTTTAGAAGTTGTAGAGAGGAGGTAGAGAGAGATTTTCTCTTCCTTCTCTCTTTCTTTTCTTCCTTCTCACTAGAAAATCTTCCTTTCCTACCCCTTTCAACTAAAACCTTGAAGTTGTGGGATGGAATCAAAGTCTTTAGAAACAGAAGATTTCGAGTTGGAGTCGTACGAAGTTTCTTATCCTTTTCCTCTTGCAGATTGATTCTCTGTGAAGTAAGGGAAGCTTGTGCTCAAAATTCTGGTGGATTGTGTGATGATGATGACAAATTGAATATGTTGATCATTAGCTGTGTGGGATTGAGGTTTAAATTGAAGAGTGGTGAAAGTTGAGGTTGGGAAGACATTGTGCATGAAGTGTGGTTGATGATTATTGCATATTGTTGGTTTCATGTGTTTCTTGAGTTGTTTTTGAGTTGTAAAGGTTGTATGTGTGGATTATGTGATTGCATATTGGAAAATTTTGTTGATTGTTAGGTAGATTGGGTAAAAATTTGGTTTTGCAGAAGTGCAAAACTTAATATCGCATCGGGCCCACCTTTAGGACGTTAGGCATGACTCCAAAAAGAGGTTTTTGTCTCACTCATGTCAGGCGCAAGATCGGTGGCATCAAGCATGAGTAGAGAGACTCGTCTCGAATTGGATTCACGTCGGACATGAGTTAAATGACACTAGCATGAGGAGAGAAATTTGTCTCTACCTGAGTTCATGTCGTGCATTGGGGTGTGTGGCGTTAAGCGTGAGTCAGGTAGAAAGCTCTCTGCCTGATTGATGTCAAGCGTGGGTGTGGTCACACTAGGTGTAAGAAAACAGGAGACTCTCTACCTCAATCATGTTGACACAAGTAATGTTGCGCAAGCGTGGGTAAGATAGAGTGATCTCTACCTCAATGGAACCGGGCATCTAGGGAGTGATGTCGGGTGTGAGTTACATGATGTTTTAGTTGTTATTTAGTTGATTGAGTTGTATGATGAGAACATATTATTAAAGTTGTTTTAACAGTTGATTAATGATGAATAAGTTGTATAAGTGATGATGTAAGATGATATGTGTTAATGTGTAGTAAGTTGAACATGTTGTAAAGTTGTGAATTGTTTTAAGTTGCTTAAGTTATTTTGATGCTCTCTTAAAGTTGTTCATGTTGTGAAGATGTATGATGTTTAAGTTGATAAAGTTGTTAAGTTGATAAGTTATAAATATATGGGACTGATACATGTCTTAGCTACGATATATAAAAACTAGAGGAGAATAAAGTCATTTTTTCAAAAAATGAATATTCCATTGTGTGAATATATGTTGCGGTGCTTTGAGTGTGACACTCTCTACTCCACATACCATAATATAATATAAAACTAAATAACTTCAATATAACAAATAAACTTAGTCCACAAAGGTAGAGAGAATTACATTTTAATATAAACTAGACTTAATAGAAATAACAATTACAATGAAAATTAAAATTAAACTATTCAAAGTAATTAGCAAGAATCAAGTCCTAATTAGTCCTAACTAATTCCCTAGTATCACGTGTCCTATTAAAGCAAAATCCAATGTTGAGAAATAAGCTTCATCATTGACATCCTCAACATCATATTGAAGATTACTTGTAAAAATCACAAGAATACAATACAAAATAAAAGGGAGTGAAAAATATCTCACTTTGGCTCACGGTGCAGGAATGAAAATTGGCTAACCAAACACAAACAACACATACAACATGACATAGTATACACAATTTCATATCATCATATTTAACTCATTCATAGCATAGTAAGTAACAACAGATAAGATTATAATGCATATGCAATGGACATGGATTACATGTTATCATGCATGTGGCGCTAATAAAAATATCACACATCACACTTGTGTATTGCCGCTAGCAACACACTAGAGTAGTCTAGCAGTACATTTCGGGTCACACCTGCTACACACTCTCATTAGAAGGACATATTATCAGAGTTTGATCGGGATAGCTAAGCCGCGCAAAATACATCTTATGATCACGATGGTAGGATTATGACTTCCAAACCAAGCTATCCCTAAGGTTGGCTCCCAAACTTTTACACAAGGGACCTTCCCTGACAATTTATCCCATATCATACCCTTCAAAAAAATACTTTTATGCATATGATGCATGTCAAACAGACTTTATGCATAACATTTCATATGATCTCATTAATTCATCATCAACTTATCCCATATCATAAAGTCATAAACCATTCTCAATATAGCAGTTAAAAATTTGAATATATATCAATTAAATATTAGCACTCAATGGTATAAGGGATCACATCACTACGACTCATACATAGCTCACAAGCACATCAATAGCACACTCACATATTACATTTTCATAATTTAATCTTCTATGTTATCGCATGGTCCAAACACTTTAGTTAGAGCTATATATATGTTATTAAGTTAATCTTAATTTTATTATAAATCTAAGGAAATTATCTCCAACTTTTATGTTGACCCCAAGAGCTAAATATGCCATCTATTATTTTAAATAAATATAAAATTGCAACGTTTTAGTCTAAATCTGACAATTTGACCTTTTCTCACTAATTTGATCATAACTTGATTTCTATACCTCCTTTTAAGGTGATTCCAATGGAATTTGAAAGATAACATCAAAGGCTACAATTTTTATGAAGATTACAAAACCTAATTCTGCCATTTACATCCACACGAAAAGCTTACAATGTATGCACATTATATTTTACACACAAAATATGAGGTTTGTCTTTTAACTCACATAATTTAGTCATTCCTTAACATTTTTATGTGATTCTTGAGCCTAAACTATAGCTCTAAATGTTTAATTTCTAACCCAACAATAAGAAATCAATTTTCTTAATCACACACAATAAATTAGATAAATTTCAAGGTATGTTCATACTAGAATTTCCAAAATCTGACACAACTCACACCTAAACTCTTTTTTTTTAATCCAATTGGTAAGAATTCTCTATAGGTTACATTACACTTCTAAGAGACACAATTTACAAATATAACTACATACCCAATTAATCTCTTAGTACAATCAATAATGCATTCCCTTAGGGTTTCCTAAGAAATCCACAGAGATCTCAAATCATACAATTACAATCTCAAAACATGAAATCAATCATCCTTTCCAGCAATTCATACAATTAATTACATAAAAATAAGAACAAAAAGTAAAATAGAAACAATTGAAAAAAAAACCTCATACATGAGTGCACAACAAACACAAGTTGGAGGCCAGTCCTATTCCCTGGCATACAAACTCACATCCAGAGCGAGGCTTCTCACTCCCCCTTACTTCGACAAGCTATAGACGATGGGTGCATGGCTCTGGGTGATTTCCTTCTTGCTCTTATTCTCTAAGCTCTGAGGCACATACGAGAAAATAGAGGCATAAAAGGATTTGATTAGAAAATTATTCTTTTAAAAACCTTAACCTTCCTTCAGTTAAAGCACTTAACCACAATTACAAATTCCTTTCCCTTTTAATAAATAGTATAATAACCTTTAATAAAAAAAACTATATATTATATTATAACATATATTAAATAATTAAATAATTATCTAATAGTCACTATTAGTAAAATAAAAACATCAAAATTATTAATAAAATACTTATATTATATTTTATTAAAAAAATGGGGTGTTACATTAAGAGCTTGATTAACCCTGAATAAGCCAGTTATTTTTCAGTTATCC